CGAATAAATATAAGAATTACAGCTGTGCGTGATTGTTACCGGATAACTTTATACGCAGATGCGCCAATAAACAACAAGCGTACAGACTGACACCCAGAACTTAGCAATTTAAAATTTATTAACACAGGTGGGCTTTAGGCACGTACCCACTTCTCGCACGACAGCGTCACCACATTGTTGCTAAATTGTGGACTGGAAACGGGAGGACTATTTGTTCGATTGATTTTTTTTAATAAGAAATGATACGTTGTTTTATAACTAAGGAATGCAAACATCCAGCCAGTATTAATACTATAAAACAAAAACTGGATAAGAACGTGTTGGAATTTAATAATGAGTAGTTATTAATTTGTGTCACAAAAACAATTTTTAAGCGATTTAATAAAGGAGGGGGTTTATATAATAAAAAATAAAAAAAACATGTTTACAGAAAACACTCAATACAAACAAATACACTCATACTCATAAATACAAATATTCGTAAGGGGATCGAACCCACGACCATCAGAAGTTGATCCAATGTGTTAAACTGCTGCTTTACTAAGGTCGTCAACTGTGACTATGTTTTTTTTTAATGAATGATAATGGAATGGTAATCCTGCGCTAACGGTATACACTGGCTGGACACCAGTGAAGGATGTTAGGTGAGAATGAAAAAGCAGGTCAGTTAGCCCATCGTGATAATTACATCTAGAATTCAGCGCGATGGTTCCAGGGGGACCACGTGGAGGTTGACCTGACAGAGTATATTTTTAGCAATGAGATTGGTAGTCATCATTACTAACAACCCTTCCCCCTCCAAACTGTGATTATGTTATACTCGTATCAAAACTAATTAATCGTACACCATAAAACAATGGACACGCGCGCTATAAATTTAAACGCATCCCGTAGGTGACAAGCATTTAAATATACTGTTGATATCCACGCCATGTTATTGATAAGTCTAGGATGATGATAATAATGTACGGAATTCCAGGACTAGAGTGCTGAAAACGCAGCTGTCATTAACGCACCATGTGATGGGGAGACGACTGTTAGTAATGGGGGTCTTATAGCCCCATTGCTAACGGTATATTCTATTAGGTTGACCTCCACGCGGATCAGTATGAAAACCATCATAATTAAACCTTGAATGCGCCAACTGCCATGCCTTCATTCTATAGGTTAGATGACCAGTCATCTCTTATTAATGCCCCGCTAACATATACCAATAACGGGATTAGAAATCCATTTTTCCAATTAAAAAAAATACACCTTCGGAAGGTGGGGGTAATGAAGACTATAATCCCCCTCCCCCCACTACGGTCTCCATAATTAAATATTAATAACAATTTATTAATTCAGACCACAAGTCCCACTGCTAGTAATATACCCTAACAGGTCGACCTCCCCGTGATTCCCCCTGGAGACCTTCGGCTAACTTGTCATTCGCATCTATCATCCCTCACTGGTGTCCCGCCAGTGTACACCGTTAGCGCAGGCGCTACCATTCCATTATCATCCATTAAAAAAAATGGACACCGTCAACGAAATCTAGTTATATATAAAAAGACTTACTACGCAGTGATCAGATATGGTATTTCCAGTATTGAAATGATTACGGTAAATTATAAGACGCGTCATTCTAAGAAATTAGCGGTATGAGAAATTATAATTGTATATCATATCAAGCATATCACTCGTGTTATAAAACAGCTAGCGAGAACGATGCCGCATGCCGTACTTAATATAGGTTATCGATTGTTTTATTAGAATAATTTTGTTTAATTTCACTACCATAAGTATGTGACTGGCTGATTGTTTGATTACAATTATTTTGTTTAATTCCGCTACCATAAGTAACTGCCAGCACTGGAAGATAACAATCGCACACATATTAACGATAGCGGAATTAAACAAAATAATTCCAATCAAATAACCAGTGATATGGACTTCCGTATAATGGCTGAGGTGATGATAATGATAATGAACTTCCGCAAGATAACATCAAGTTTAGTAAAATTTAACATACGAGTAGGTTACAATTAAACCTATTTAAAGAAAACTTAATAAAAATATAATGTACCTACGGCAGTGAAATTACATGGTGTTGAGGCAAAATATCTTTATCCTCAAATGGGAACGCGTAAGGGGTGTGGGCATTGTATTTTATAATATCTGTGGCAGCGTTGCCAGACCGCAATCAAATCCCAATTTTACGTAAAAATATTTCTATTTGCTAAATTCTAGAGAAATGGAATTTTTGGAAAAATGTGAAATAAGCTTGGAGAAATTTGAATATTTTTTTAGAAATTTTCAGTAATATTTTTAGTACTTGTAAACTGTACAGATATATGAGGTACATATTTACAGTAAAATATATAACTGAAGGTGTATAAATGTAAAATAGAAGTAGAATTAAATGAACTTTTTTTCCATTACTCATTTTGTGGCACATGGCAAAACATAGTGAAAAACTTTGTAAAACAGTAACATTATGAAGTTCATATTGGTTTCAGAAAAAAAAAAATTTAATGTTTGCGTAAAAATAATTCATCTGACAACCCTGTTCTGTGGCACCGTTTATGTCTATAGGCGACAGTTATCACTTTCCATCAAGTGGGCTATCAGCTTTTTTGCAATTCTAAGTGACATAAAAAAAAAATTAAAACAAACGAATATAGAATAAAATTAAAACTAATTTAAACTTAGTTCTTGATAGTCGATATCTTACCAAATATTTTCGCTACACACAGATCAAAATAATAATTTTAGTAATGACTGTTGACCTTAGAGATCAATTACTAGTACGTACATACGTACGTAATAAAAAAACAATTTTACCATCGGCGCCACATACTTCTTCATTTATGTGTTAATCCATGACCGTAGGGCATTTAAAATTAACAATTATCGTAACATAGATTCCTAAACATCACGAATTGCACATATTTAGTAGGCATTAAAACCGAGATCTCACCTACATCTGGCGGCCTACACTCCAATCTCTGATCTTCGAGTGCGTTCACTCAACATTCATAAACAACATTAACATCGTCGTAAATTGTTCACATGACGTAACAGTACTACGCTATCATCCCAGGGGTGTGCAAAATTAAGAAATAACCGTCGAGCTACAAAGTGAGCGATGCAACAATAGCGGACTAGAAATAGAATTGAGAGCATATTGCGCGCTACTTGACAAAAAAGTTACTTCAGTCATACACAAGCATACACACCCTTGAATAATAACATATTTTGTAGACGCATTAGGTATATTAAAAATATTTGAAAGAAAGAAGAAAAGAAAAAAAGAATTTATTCACAGAATCATGAAACCCACACAGTAGCTGAAATGAAAAAAAAATACAATATAATTAAAAACAAAAATATTTGAATTTAGAACTTGACATAGTGTACATGTATATTTTTCTTCGCAACAAGGAGTATTCAAAATTCAAACGAATTGTGAAACTCCGTCATTTGAAATTCGTTTAACAATAATGTATTTACATCTGAAACCGATCTCTGGGCAAATAAACGTCCTAAAAGGAAACTACTTGTAGGTATTTAAAGTCGTAACATAGATAATATAGGTTTTCCGTTGAAACATTGGACAGTCAGCCAGGACAAGTCTTTTTAATGATTAATAACAGAATTAATTAGCTAGGTTCTTCAATTTTTTTTAACTAATAGTTTTGTTATTATTTTTTATTACTGTTGATTAAAGACATCAATTTTATGAATGCATTTTGTTCAAGGTCATGTTGTCCACGATACATTCCTAATCAAGTAAGCACAACATACTTTTTTTTCAAATATTGTATTTTTGACAACCCTTATATTTAAAGATCGGAAAATCGATTTGAATCGCGAATGTGTTGGCCCAACGATTCGTCACTAGGCGAAATAGGCGCGATACGCAGCTACCGTGCGCACCGCAATAACTCTCAATTATCGACATCAAAGCTGCGCGCGCGCCGGCTTTATCGCGCCGCACGCGACCGCGACGATTGCGCGACTGGCGACACGCGATCTGCATCGATAAATTGTCGCATCTAACTATTATTGACCTTTTGTCCCATAACACCCAGTCTCTAGGAATGTTGACACATGACGGGTATGTACCCGGGGCGGGGGGGAAGGGATTGTTATTAATGCCAACAACCACTCCCATTGCTAGCAATATTCCCTATCAGGTCGACCTCCACGTGGTTCCCCCTTGAAACCATTCATCACAATGGGCTAACTGACCTGCTTTTCCATTCTCACCTATCATCCCTCACTGATGCCCCGCCAGCGTATACCGTTAGCGAAGGCGGGGTTGTCATTCCATTATCATCTATTAAAAAAAAAGTACCCGGGGCATCACAGTGTATTTATACTATGCCGTTTTTGTAAATAAAGATGAATGTCGCCACTTTCCATCAGGTGGGCAGTCAGATTATTTATCGAAGACTATTATTCGAAGTTGCATAAAAAACTATTGAATACGCCAGTGCTCACTACAGATTGACTACTAAACTACTATTGCTGTGATTTAATTTAACCGCTTACCATCAGACAGGCCGCATGTGTAAATTTTCCAAGTACAGAAAGTCTCCTAAATTTTGGCCACTTACGTATACGTATAGCTCTTCAAAAGGGGAATAAAGAGGTATCTTTAAGGTCGGCAATACACGCGTAATACCCCTAGTATTGCAGGCATTCATACGCTACGGTAACCGCTTACCATCAGGTGGGCCGTATGCTTGTTTGCCAACTCAATAGTATAAAAAAATATAGTAATAATCCAAAAGAATATGAATAATTATTAAAAAGAGATTTCTTAAGTGAATAAAAAATTGAAGAATGACATGCATAACATAAATGTATCTACGTATGCATTTAATAAACTACGTGAATCAAACCCACAAATAAGAAAAAAACTATTTAAGAATATAAATAAATAGATAAATAAAGCTATCATATTTATCAACTATAATAAAATATACTAAAAACAGTTATGGAAGACATACCTTTCGTTTCCCATCAGTCTTCCCATCAGCAGATCCTTCTGTGTCCTGCCAGAGAAATGAAAAAACATGCATTGGTCATAATGTTAGAGAAGCATAGAAAATTAGAATTGTTAAAATTATGAGAGAAGTAAATTGGCATTAGAATAGAAAAAGAAATATCAAGAAAAAAAAAGATACATTGATATACAAAAAACCCAAGATCAAATATTAATAAACAGGCACCGAAAATGCGCAGTTCAAATCTTAATTCAAAAATTGTGCAGTTTTTTCTAATCAGCCAGTGGCTATTATACAGAAATATTATTAGATTTTTTAGACAATATCTATACAGATGCTTCCTAATTTTGTTAATTATTCTGCTCCGCACAGAACTTGTTCTATTATATATATATTTTTTTTATTAAATTAATGAAATAAAATAAGTTAAGTCATATGTTTTTTTTTTTTTTTATTTTGTACGACAAAAACGAATCTTAGTTTTATGTATATCAATAATTACACAAGCATTAATATAAAAATCCCATCTCTATCGCTGTATCAGTGAACGGTCTTATCCCAACTAGACTAGAACAACACCTCAGACGGTTGGGATTCCGAGGCGGAATACTATCGGGAAAGACCCAGAAAGCGGTGCTCTTAGATACTGCCCGTATATAGTACGCCAGTGTCTCTCCCTGGAGCCTTGTACCCTGGCCGACTGTGCTTCTGCCAGGAGTTAGTTTGCCATCTCCTCTCCTTAATAAGGAGAGATGTAAATGTTGTTTAAACAATTAAATATAATAATTAATTAAATTATTTATTTATTTCTTATTGCATTCCATAATATAATTAGTAGATAACATTTCAATTATGGACCCTGTTGGGCAACAGCAAGTAGGAGAGAGGAGGACAACACTTCTTTCACTTTAGAAATAGTCTAAAGATCTGTTACAATATTTTATATTTTCATAGTAATCTACAGTTATAATCATCCAATATACAATATTTGAAAATAAGTAATGTACAAGTAATGCTAAACGTATAGGGTAGTCCAAGATATGGACTGACACAGAGCTGGCTGGAAGAAAATGTATAAATTAAATGCATCGATAAGAGGAAACACTTAAATAAAAAAAAGTGATACCAATTACAATTTTAGAATACTTTGCCCAAGTTATTTAATAAATATCCAGAAATTAAATTAATTGACAGGCAATGTAGTCTATTTCATGATTGTTAATATTTCGAGATTAATTCGCATATCGATGGCTCGATTTTTTCCGATTCGATTTATGAATTAATACGGATTTTATAACATAAATATAAACAAATACGGTTATATTTACACATTTATAAGTCGTAATTGAGTAGCAATACACCCAAAAAATTTTATCGGTCACTACTACAGGTTACAACTTGCATTATATTAAACCAGGATTCAATCAATGTGAATATCTATCCGTCATATTATAAATCGTTATTAAAAATGAAACGTTAATAATAGTTCTATATGTGAACGGGCCGTTAAACAGTAATCGGTACAGCCAATTTGACTCGCGGCAAAACTTGAACTCAAAGTTCAAGTGAGGACACTCCGGGTCAAGCAATCTACCATTAAATGATAACTAAATTATACAACAACCAAACATTATATAGGACAAGAATATCTAATGTTCATTCCATTTCATATTTCATGTATTTCATAAAGCTTTATATATTTTTTTTTTAAAAAGAAAGAATAACTCATGAAGATAATTACTATAACATGAATGATGTTACTTTTATAATATAATAGTATAATATTTGTATTGTAATGTGTGTATTGTTGTTGTATTGTATTGTAAGTTGTTATTTTTTATTTATTTTTTAAACTTTAATACACTTAGAAAGTGTAAACGGTGGACTTAACACCATACGGCCTTTTCTACAAGTTGGGAGATTCGATTTAATTCAAAAATAATATATATATCATACTCATATTACCTACATATATATATATATATATATATTTCGGTATGTGTAGGAAAAATATTTATACATATTTTAGTAGTAAAGTAATTTTCTGCTTACCTCATGGATGTCTGGTAGAGAACGCCATTAGGTATTAAGTTCGCCAGATATACACTTGCTTATATTATATAATTGTACATTGAAATTTAAATAAATTAATCAATCATTTACTTGGATTCTAATATTTGTACAAAGCGTAATTTTTAGTACCTTTTTAGTATACACAAGAGCAAGATTTGTTCACAAAAAAAAAGTAAATAGTAACGTAAAAAGAGAAAGAAATAAAACGTCGACAAAATATTAATCTTAATATTTATTACATTAATAAAACAATCAAATTGTTTACACATCAGTGTGAAAACATATGAGTATATTACATAAGCAAATATGACCTATATAGGATCATATTTAGCCATAAATTTATGACATTTACTGGCATGTTCTTAAATTTTAATAAAATTTATATTTCAATATTGCTAAATTATTTTTAAGCTCTAATAGGTAGGTTCATTAAAAGGGGAGTAAAGAGGTTTCTTCAGGGTCGGCAACGTGTGTTTAATACCCTTGGTATTGCAGGCGTTCACAGGCTACGGTGCCCGCTTACCATCAGGTAGGCAGAATGCCTGTTTGCTACCTCAGTGGCATCGAACCAAAATTAGAAAAAAAAAACTTTTTTTTTATATTTATGATCCTTACAAATATTTACTTATACAATAAAGCCTTATAACCTAATGTTACGAATATAATAAACAACCTGATAGTAACTACTTACTATCAGGTGGGCCGTATGCTCGATTGCCACCTCAGCGATATAAAAAAAATGTAACTAAACGATATCTATACATGGAACATATATAAAAAAACATTATATAAGGAGTGTGAATAAGAGCAATAGAAACAAAAACGATATTTTTAGAAATTTTGTCTGTCTGTATGTTTGCTCCGACATTACCCAAAAACTACTACATCAAATTGGATGCGGGTTTCATAAACGTATTCCTGAAGATCTAACTTCAAATCTGATGTATGTTTTATCTTGGTACGTTATCTAGAAGTAATTCTAAAATGCATCATACAAAATAGAGGGCAAAAAGTAGAAGATAAGCTACAGTACGAGTATATAGTTGTATAGTGCGCACGCGCAGGTTAAGAACTGCTTTGTTTATACATAAATTATTGCATTTTAAAAATTAATAGACACTGTAATTAACATAGAAGTATGTTAGTCCTTAGAAGTGGTAACATATGATGGACACCATGCATTACATTACATTACATACATATTACATACATTACATATTACATTACATGCACACTATTGTTGATGGTTCATGCGAATATTATCATTTTTAATTTTTTTTTTTTATACAACTAAGAATGGCAAACAAGCTGACAGCCCACCTGATGAAAAGTGGTAACCGTCGCCTATAGACATGAGCAGTACCATGGACATAACAGAGTATACTGTTTCGCCCATGATACCATGCGTTGCCATTCCTTAGGACTCAGGTGTTATTCCTCTGTACCCAGTAAATTCACACCATATCCCACCCTTCAAACCAAAACACAGCCATGCAAACACAACTGCTTCACGGTAGAAACACGAATGGGACAGAGATACCCAAGCAATCGACTTTTGTACATATAAACAAACTTTCTTAAAAAATAAATTAAACTGACTTCAAAAAAGATAAAACCAAAAAGAAAAAAATAAACTGATATTAGACTTTTAATTTAAAGGACAAAATGTGTAACATATCAGTGCTTGCGCATAAATAAAAAAAAATACAATCAAACATAAAACCTCCTAATTTTTTTAAGTCGGTTAAAAATTACCGCCATTTCAGCGTGTACACTAAACAGAGAATTCTTTTTGGTAATTTAATTAAGTGATCTTATTCACACCATTCTAATTAACATCTGTGTGCCTATCATAATATCTTAACCCTTAAAAGCCTGATTTTTTAAATCAAATTAAAAAATATATATAAGTGTACCTTTACTGTGTTTACTAATGGGGAAAAATAGTAAAAAAATCAAAACGATATTTTTATATATTTATTTTAAAAAAAAAAAACATTTGGTAACATGTAAACAGCCAAATATTAAAATAAAATCGATTGTAGGCGCCCAATGCGATTTCTAACCCCGGTATTAAATTTGAAACTTCAGGTATTTAAGGGTTAAATTTATATTTTATACCTCTATTAGAAGTTTCAAATTACAATAATAAAGTTTTACCGCCAAAATGTAATTCAAATAAAGAACACCAGATTATTAAAACATCATACGCCATAAACTATACGCACGGCCAAATTTCAATCAATAAAGCTTTACAAGCGTGTTCAGGAGATACCATTAATTAAACAGAACGATTAACAATAAATATTGATCGTAAAATTAATAAGCTTAACGTCACTTTTGTATCGATTGTGCCGAGTCACGAGAGCGTAATAACGGGTGTTTATTGGGCAAAAAAATATTTTTTCCGATATCCTAAAACCGAAGGATGGATGCAAAGGACGTATTGTATACAGCTATATTTAGCACTGAATAGAGAATAGAAAAATTCGGATTGATCCAAACCTAAATCTAGATAAAGAAATGACTACGTGTACTCTATGTAAAGTAACTATTAAGTAATCCACATCTATACATAAAAACAACATAAAACTCGAACATAAAGTGAATTATTATAAGAAAAGGTCGCAGGCAACTTTTTATTTACAATGTTAGTAGTTTTCTAATATATATTAGAGAACTACTAACATGTGAAATGTGAATAAAAAGTTTGTAAAGACGTCTAAATGTAAATTTGAAGATCCCCGATCCTTTCTAACCGTTCCATATCCTGGTCCTTCGAGCCGGATTTGAACCAGCGACCTATGCATATAAATCTTACATGTCAATATCAATATTTTTGACAGACGTATCACAATAAATATTGGTAGAACACAATGAATATTTATTGAATTTATAGTACTGATACTTCTAAGCGGTTGCATAAATTGATTTTCAAGTTTCAACAATATATGTGTAGTGCCGACTCTTAAAAG